CTCTGCTTCGTGTGGTACGCCCGGCGGTGGAGGACACCAGTGGGTGGTCGTCCATCTGCCCCCTCACCCCCACCTGTTGATCCATCCACCCCCTCCCCAAACACCCACCCACCTTAGCTGGGTCCGTGTTGGAAAGGGAAACTGAGTCACGGCGCAGGACGCGGTCAACAGAGATCTCTTGGTCCACATGTGCTCCGGGAAGGGCCACCCATCTCCTGGCTGGACCCCACGGGCCAGGGGACGGTGTGTGACCCCAGGTGTGACATTTGCCCCTCTCTCCCCTCTTCTTGGCCTAGGTTCTCCACCAGCTTCGCCTACTACGGCTTGGCCATGGACCTCCAAAACTTTGACTTCAACATCTACGTGATCCAACTCATCTTCGGGGCCGTGGACTTCCCGGCCAAGCTGGTCTCCATCCTCACCATCACCTTCGTCGGGCGACGTTTCACCCAGTCCGTTGCCCTCATCCTGGCCGGTTTGGCCATCTTGGCCAACATCTTGGTGCCGCGAGGTGAGGGTTGGCGGAGGGGGGTGGTGGCAGCGGTGGCCCCTTCCGAGCTCAACCCGTTAACTCAACTCACAGCTTGAGTGATTTTAGACTTTTTTTAACGGGCGATTTGCCTGAAATCCGGGGGTTTGGGGGTCTCCTCGCTCACCCACCGCCAACCCAACCCAACTCCGAGGCCCAGGTGTCCTCTCCTCGCCCCCACAGACCTGCGGACGCTTCGGACTGTCCTGGCCGTCTTCGGGAAGGGTTGCTTGGCCGCGTCCTTCAACTGCGTCTACCTCTACACGGGTGAGCTCTACCCCACCGTTATTCGGTAAGGAGCCGGGGTACGGGTTGCAGTGGCGGGTGATGAGGTGGCCGGGACCTCACGGGTCGATCCCTCAGGACCTCTCGGTGTTCCACAGGCAGACGGGTATGGGGTTGGCCAACACCATGGCCCGTCTGGGCAGCATCACGGCCCCCTTGGTGAAGATGGTGGGCGACGTCTTCCCCGCCTTGCCCTTCATCATCTACGGGGCGGCCCCCGTGGTGGCGGGGTTGGCGGCCATCTTCCT